CTAGTCTTGAGTACAAAAACGCTCAGAGACAGTGCCCAGGCAGTGAGTGGAAACCCCAGGACTAACGCGTGCAAGCACGCGTGCGCACGCGCGCACGCACACACACATACACACACACACCACATGGCAAATAAAAAGGATTTGAATCAAAACTCTTGAGACTGAGAGGTATTGCAAATAAAAGGTTTATTGAGTATGGTACATACTAGACAGAAAAAGGAGCAGGTCCTGAGGTAAGTTCTCACAACTACACATAGCAGGCTGAATAGCAGATGAAAATCTGTGTAAGACTTGGGGCGGAGTATTTCTATAAGAAAAAAACTAGCCACAGGAAGTACAAGTTGTTTACAGAAATCCCACCTAGACTATAGATAAGAGGGATGGGTAACAGGCCAGAGAAAGTTCTGGAATAGGAAAACAGTGATCAGGAGAAGGAGTTGCTGCTTTGGGATTGGTGGAGTTATAAGCAGGTTATCGAGATTGCCTAGGGGTTGGTGATGTGATTTGAGTTAAGGCTTTAACACAATTTTAAGAATGAAAAGCAGGTTTTTGTTGCTTTTAGTTTTGGCTGTAAACAGACTAAACTCCCCGAGCTCTTTTTTCCTTCTGTCTTCTGGCCCATGTTATTCAATTTAGGAAACTGCAGCAGGTTTCTTTTATCAGTAGTTAATAGTACTGTATTCATTTTCATGTCCTACTTGTGAAAATTATACCAGGATGATGCATGATGTTAGTGTTGGGGAAGTGAGGGACAAGTATATGGGAACAGTCTCTATTACTCTTTTGTAATTAGAAGACTATTTTGAAATAGAAGATATAAATATAGATATATAGATATAACTATAGATAAACAGAGTACTGAAAATGTCCCTAATATAGCAGTTAGGTTGTGAGACTATGATATTACAGGAAGGAAATTCATTTTTATCAATTCTATCATCTAGCAGGGAGTCATTGACTTATGCCTGGAGGCTGAGAACTGAGGATTGTAGTTCGAAGCCAGCCTAGGCAGGAAAGTTTGTAAGATTTTTAAAAATATGCAATTAACCAGCAAAATGCTAGAAATAAAGGTGTGGTCTTGAGTGAAAAAGCCAACTGACAGTTGTGCGCATGTATACATGCATGCATGCACGCACGCACGCACACACACGCATGCATGCACACACAGGCTCTGTACGCAGGTTTACTCTCTGGAGCATTCTGGAGTCCTGCAGTACAACTTGAGACACCATTGTGGTCCCTTTGCACCTGGGGTTGTGGGTGCAGAGCCCAGTTCTGTCTCTTTTATGTCCTAAATATGCCGCCTTGCCCGCCAGGCCACCCATTGAACCAGGTTCCTACTGCATTTCACACTTGGATTAACTCAATCATGCAAATTTTTTCAAGCTGAAAAGAAATCAGGCTGTGGGCAAATAAGAAATGCTAATAAAAATTGAAAATATGGCTCAGAGTGGAGCACAAGATGCTCCTTTATGGCACTGCTGCCCACAGTCCTGGGATTCAGGAGCTCTGGCCCAGTGGGAAAGGGACGGATAAACCGAGGGACTTAGAACATAAATAAAAACCACCGACGTACCTGTTCTCACAAAATAAACTGCTCTCCACAAGATTAGCAGAACAAACGTTCTCGTGCAAAATATTCTTTGAGACAGTTTTGTTTGCCCTTTCTAAGCAGAAATTTCCAGAACATTAGTTTAAGTTTTAAATTTATTTTTAATGTTTTTTAAATTATTCTTAAGTAGTCATACAAAGTGGTTTCAATTCCACATGTTGGTTTGTGAGTAAAACAAATCTAGATCAATGACACCTCCTTCATCATTTTCCATTCCACCCATCCCCTCAATTTACCTAGTTTTATTTTCATATACATACCTTTAATATTATGATTGAATTCACCCATATTTCATCTCATTTGCCCACGTGTCCCCCAAGAAACACATGTTCTAGCTTCCTGATGTTCATTTTGTTAAACTTGAAATTGTTCAAAGGAGTTACTCCATTGGAATCCTCCCCTGCATAGACCACATTTTAATTACTACGTTTGTATATGCATACATATTACCTTGTATATGTTTACATACATATTTATAAATTAGATCTAACTTCCACATAGGAGGGAAAACTTGTGTCCTTTGCCTTCCTGTGTAGATGCTATAATGTCTTGGAGAACATCCTCTGCTATGATTGATAATCTTTCCACCTTACCTTACACACTCATTAATAGACTCCAATATACATATCTAGCTCATAATTGTCTTCCAAGATCCAGTTAAAACAAGATCTCTACATTCAGGAAACATTTCTGGGATGGTCTCAGGAGAAGAGCTCCCTCCTGCCCTGATCTCTTTGGATTTGCTGGTTCTTCACATATGTGTCTCAGTATTGGGCCATTTCATTTTATCATAGCAGAATCCATGATATATTTGAAACAAAAATTTGCTTATCTCTCACTTTAAGAGATCAAAGTTCAGGATCTGATGGCCCCAATTGTTGGTTAAAGGTCCTGGCTGCTTCACAACCTGATGGAGAAATGGAAAAGGAGCCAGCTATATACAAAAGAGGCTGAGAGCATGCGGTAGGTAACCTGTTTTATGATGATCTACTTCCTCAAGAACTTTCAAATTCCTATCAGCATTAATCCCTTCAGAAGGTTGTGATTCCACTGCCTAACCACTTCCTACTAGATTCCACTCAAAGACTTACCACCTCGGCTCGGCCACATCCAAGTACTAGCAAGTGAACCACAACAGCCATTCCACATCTGCTGCCTTCCTTCTAGCTTTGTACGTATGCAGTACAGAGCTCCTTGCTGGTTAGAATGCAGATGCTCTGATATAAATACCAGATGACCTAGATAACTCATCATGCCACACCTGGCATTATGGTTTTTATTCTTCATTCTGGGCATTTAGAAGTATTTTCTGCAAGGTCTATTGGAATTTAACATCCTAGATGAAGAGATGAGCACAATGGCATAGGCCACCTGGGTTTCTCATTTTTCTGGGACTTGTGCCCTTCTCAGATGATTTGGTTTCAATTTTCCATTGGTAGAGATTATTAGGCAAATGAAGGGGCCCACTGTGTATGTCTCCAAACAAAAATCAAGTTTAAAAAGAACCAGCAATGCCCAAGGAAGTTCAAGACTCTATTGGAAGCCCTGGAAGGCATCACTCTAGTTAATCCTTAGTTCCCGGGATGAATCCAAATGTGTAGCAGGTGCTTGGTTTGAGGTCTCACTCCCTCAGCCCTAGGCTCCCTTCAGGGTCTTTACCTACTTTACTTTAAAGCTACTGACTTAAGATCACCCGTCCAGAGAATTTCCTGTAGCTACTAGCATGGATTAGATTTACGTTTATTGAGTGCAGAGGTGACATTTAAAACTTCTCTGTATCAGTCACAGCACCCAGACGGGAATGGCATTCAGAAATATGAGTTCAATCACTGTCCCGAGCAGCGTAGTAAGTAGACCTGGTAGGGCCCTGCGCCAGCCCCTCCCCTTTCCATGGAGTCCTGGCCTTCAGCTTTAGAATATTTTATAGAAAGAGCACACTTTTGACCAAGTACTGCCCTTTAGGAAGATGAGCAAACATGGTGCTAACAGCCACATCCAGACCAGCTTTCCCTACCTATTTCCATAGGCTGGTGCTCTTTTAAGTGATTTGCATGTGTTATCTCATTTAATCCTGTGAGTCCTCTGGAGAATGTGATAAGTACGGGACTTTAGTCACCTTTTAAACACTAGAAGTTGCTCGGGGAGCTTCGGGAACATGGCCCTCAGAGTCTAAGTCCTGAATGATCAGGAAAAGTCCATGTTTTCCCTGGACAGTTGTCTTATTTCTCCTGGTCCTGTGGTCTCCTTTGACTGGTAGCATGCTGAAAGCAGAATGAAGTCTGAAACTTACATTTTCTTACAAAGGATCATTGTTCGTAGGAGAGGGATTGGAAGACAAGTTGGCTAGCCTCGTCTTCTGAGTTAATGTCAGTAGTCTTGGTTGAGCAGGCTCTAAGCTCCACATCCCGCCAAGGAAGGGGTGATTATTTCCAAGAGCCATGCTTGTCCTACAAGAGCCACACTCCTTTGAGTTTTACCTTTCTGCTTCTCCCAAAGAAAGTTCTATGACAAATCCCAGTAATAAAATGACTAGCCATGCTGGGTGCCAATGGCTCATGCCTGTAATCTTAGCTACTCAGGAGGCTGAGAGCTAAAGACTGAGGTTCAAAGCTAGCTCAGGCAGGGAAATCTGTGGGTCTCTTATTTCTAATTAACCACCCAAAAATCTGAAAGTAAAGGTATGGTTCAAGTGGTAGAATGCCAGCCTTGCATGTAAAAGCTAAGGAGCAGCACCTAGTCTCTTAGTTCAAGCTGTACACACAAAACTTTACTAGCCATCATCATTTTTTCTCTTAAACCAGTTCACTTATATTTAATGATGACTAAAGAAGTGCGTTAAAAATAACCAAACAGTCTATCATCCTTGGAGGTGATTGGCAGGTCTTTTCTTGTTCAAAATTAGAGAAAACACCCCAGTTCAGTATCACTGTTACATCTAGAGGCTTGTTGGAACTCAGAGCACATACCCCTGACAGATACAACAGGGATTAATGAGCCATGACCAGAAGTTTGATTTTTCTGTCAAGTGCTCCCATCCGTTTTTAATAAACAGAAGAACAACATCAACTTCACCACCGGCTCTCCACTGCATACGCTGAGCTGGCCATTGCTGGTAGCCAGTGTGCAGGGCAGAGTTAGGATTCTAAATGACTGACAAATGCTTTTACGAGCCCCTTTGGTCTGTTTCTCTGGTGGCTGGCTTTCTCCCCAACTCCCATCGCTTTGCTTCTATTCAATGTGGGCGGCTCAGTGCTTTGCCAAGGGAAACCGTCAAATTCAATATCACATTTACAACTAAATGGCTTCAATTTAGTGCCACTGGTGTGCTATCTATGGTGTCAGGCTGCCAAAATACCCACTGTTTTCCCGTTAAGCCATGCTGGGTGCTCTTTTGCAGAAGGCTGTCTCCTGAGAGGACTACAAGTTGAGCCAAGTTATAGCTAACCCACAACAGCAGATGGTAAGGACCAGGTAGGATCACAGAGCCCCGCCTGACAACATAGCCCCGCTCTTCTGTGTGGATGAAGCTGTATTCTGCTTCAATGGGGGGTGGGGGGAAATCTATCCTTAAAAATACTCATTCGCCCACATTCACTGAAAAGTTGCCTTGCTCACCAAAGAGAGGTTTCTATTGTGATTGTGAAAAGGATCAGGAACAAACATGGGTTTTCTTTTTCTTTGCTTTCTCTCCCTTTTGGGTCTTACAAAATAAACTAGGATTCACGCACGGGACACTTACTTTATTCTTTGAGGTTGCTACGAGTGGCTGCCTTAAACCATACTGACCACAGGATGTCCCCAGTGTTCCACGGAAATCCTACAGAAAGGGCATTTACCTGGTAATGCAAAAGTTGTTTCTTAAGGAAAAAAAAGTCAGAGCACCCCCACGGTGGCCACATCTACCATTTCAAACAAGACCTGCCTTTAAACAGAGGCTGTCTAGTGCCACCAAGGGACACCCCAGCAGACCCAGGCTGAGGTTGTCCTTGGAGGAGAATGTACCACCTACAAGTAAAGCCACTAAACTTAACAGCCCAGAGCTGCTATTTAATCGCCCCTGAAGAGAAGTCACCCTGAGGTGGAGTTAATAACCAATGCCAGATCTGATTTTTTTTTCCAGTTTAATTTTTTTTAAAGCTTCCTGCTCCAGTAGTGTGGTGACCAATATCTAATGAAATTACATGCTGTTCAAATGCAATCCTTGGGCTGATATATTTAGCAAATCCCCAAATATGAATCTGAAAGTGCTCCACAGAGAACCATTTGAAACAAACATGAATATAGATCTAAACTGATTTGAGTTAAGAAAATTTGAAATAGAAACTGGTTGAATTATTAACCCAATCTTCTCTTGCACTGGGGCAAAGAGACAATGATATGCCCATGGCATAAAAAGGCTGTCATAGACAAGGTGTTGAGAGGAAGAATCCCAAAGAAGAGATGGGAAAGGCCCACCCTTCCATCCCTAACCTTGTGCTTGTCACTCACCGATCTGCCTCTTCATAAATGAATAGATCACACCTCTCAGTTCAAGGCTCAGGCAGCCAAGGGACAAGACAGTTTGTCAGCTTTTTCCCTGGCCAGGATAAACCTAGGTTCGAGCAAATTTCTGTTACTTTATGTTATCAAAGCTTCATGAGCTGAGTCCACAAGTAGATTGACACTAACTAATTCTAGATATTTTAGTAGTTTCCCTCTTGGCTAAAGTCTGTGAGAGCTTATTTATCTTTGATTTTATTTTTATTTTTATGTTTGTCAGGAAAATTACAAGGTGTATCCTGTTTCCCCGTTGTTTCCTTCATATACCTGGGTATGCAAATCTGAGATTTAGTTATTTGGAAATATTAATGTAATCCACGTTTTCACTGCTATTACAGCTTTTAAAACCCTAATTGAGTCTTTCCAAATTCATATACTTTTTGAAACTTCTAGTACCTCAAAATGTGAGTGTATCGGGAGAGAGTGGCTGTAAAGAATTAATTGAGATTAATAAAGTCGTCAGAATAGACCCTAAGCAATACAACTAGTATCTATGTAAGGCGATTAGGACACATATATTTAGATGGACATTCCATGTAAAGTCACAGGGTGAAGATGGCATCCACAACTCCAGGTGAGGCTCAGGAAAAAAATAAAACACCTGACAACACCTTCATTTTAGACTTCTTGCTTTCTGAGCTGTGAGAAAACAGCCATGTCTTCCTCCCCTACTAAAACTTTATTATGACAGAGGCAAAACATTTCAGCTTGGTAATCCTAGTTTTATAATATCAGTCATAGGTTCTTGTGTTCAACACAGCTCATATCCTGATAAGCATTGCTAAAAATTGGTGAGTACTATATCCATCCTATCAAGAGATCGACATATATCAAGCGATATCATTTTGGAGGCAACTGTCAGAGGTAGAAATCTCTACTTTTCAAATGGGAAACTGGGCTGATGTCTCAGCTGTATCCAACTCCAGGGTCTATACTTAAAAAACATCATCTTTTAGACCATGGATTGCATCACAGGGGACATGGAGAAGAGACTGCACCCTTCCTTCATAATCTGTTTCTTCCAGTGAGTTCTAACCCAATATTTTACCACATGTGGGTGAGTTTTGGGTGAAAAATACATGAGTTACTTTGGTGTCAGGCTTGATGTCTACTCTTTTCATTATGATATGTTTATCAGTGGGTACTTAGCTTCCAAATTTTCTAACACCAGTCGTTCCCCACTGATTGTGCCAAACAGCTAGGCTGGCAGAAGCAAGTTAGTATTCAGTGGGATGGGTGAATGAGTCTTAACTTGGATGATGGTAAATCATGGACTGGAAGTTTTGAGTTGCAACACAGATCATATGCATCCTCTGGTCCATTTCTTTCACATCTCTCCACACTTGTCATAGTCTGGGTGCATTCAGGGAGTTGTGTGCATGGGTATGAGTCTTCCCTCCCCTTATGGAGGTCAGTGTGGCCACATGCCACATGCTTACCCCACTCCCATACAAGGTAGAGAGCACCTCCTTCCACTCTGGGGGTAGTTTGTGTGTGTGTGTGTGTGTGTGTGTGTGAGAGAGAGAGAGAGAGAGAGAGAACGAGAGAGAGTGAGAGAGGGGGGGAGGGGAGAAAACTTGTCGTGTTTTGTTTTTTTTTGAGTGCTGGACCAGGCTTCAGATTGGATTAAATCAGCATCCAGTGCCCTTCCCACTGCACCAAAGAAATCTCTCAACTCATCAAAAAAATAAGTTTATAGATAATTATTCTCATCAGAAAGAAGTTTGCCACCCTGAAAATGATTTTTTCTATCCAAGTTCCTATCCAGGAATTCTCTGTGTGGACTGAAAATATGATGGCAGTCTTGAGTAGAAGAAATTAAGGGACAGAATCTAGGTTCTGAGTTCAAGCCCAAATACACACACACACACACACACACACACACACACACACACACACACATACACACACACACACACCACCAAATAAAATTAAAAATTAAAAAGGAGATTGATGGAACCGGTGACATTAATCAAGATGCACTATATTCACAAATCAACATGTTGAACTGAAACCCCTTTGTACAACTTTCTAAAGATGATTTTTTTAAAAAAGAAATATGATGAATTTACAGAAATTTATTTTACCACTCTTAAATACTCTCTTATTTTTAAGAAAAAGTGAGCATATAAGCCCTAGGGATTGATCAAGTGGGTTCAGTATAATTACTGCTAGAAGTATAATCATTGACATGCTATAATCACTGTGTCAAGCCAGTCTTAGTTGAGTGAAGAAGGGCTGCCCTTCACTGTTCTTGAACTTGAAGTGAGTGGTTTGTCCTGATAGTCTGTGCCCAATACTCTATGCATCATACATCCATATCCCTACCACAAGTTTGAGCCTATCTCACAGGGAGGCCCTGAGAGGCTAGGTGACTTGTATGTGGTCAAATTCCCTAGTGACCAAAACCACTGTCAATTTTGCAAAACAAACCAAAAACCAGAAAATAACCACTATATTCCTCTCCCCAAACCCAACCAGGACATTAACTTGAAATTTAAGCTGAAATTGAAGAGACACAAATAGCAACAGAACCTTCACTGACTCAAGAATAGAGAAAACAGATTAAACTTCTAGTTTTGAAATTGTGTAGTAACTGGAAACTGCGCTTATACTTGAACTTGGCCAAGTTGTAAGGGGTCAGTGAGGAGGACTACAGAATTTTACATTTATGTGAGCTACTTCATTTTCAGGGTATCAAAGGCTATATGAGATGGGGGGGGGAGTGGGAAACTAGTACAGAGACAGATATCTATCTCTATATAAATATGTATACAGTAAAATGTAACAAAAATCCATATAGTCTTGACAATTGGAGAATATTAAAAACATCCATTTTGGAAAAAGAAAGATAGAGGGTGAATAATTTAAGATATACTGCACCTATACATGAAAATAGCATAAAGACCCTCAGTGATAGTTGTTGATCAATAGAGGGTTGGGGGAAGGGAAAGAGAAATGAACTCTGTTGGGGGGTAGATACTTTAAGGAGGAAGGATGAATGGGGATGAATATAGTCAAAGTAGATCGTATATATAAAATACAACAATGAAACTGGAATTGTTCTAAGAAGTGGGAAGCTGGGCACCATGGCTCACGCCATCTGACCTTCTGAAAGCTCCTTATCGATGATTAATCACCAAAAGCCAGAAGTAGAGCTGTGGTTCAAGTAGTAGGATGTCTTCCTTGAGCAAAAAAGCTAAGGGATCGTGCCCTGCTTTGAGTTGAAGCCCTAGCATTAGTATGTACATGCTCATACACACACACACACACACACACACACACACACACACTTGGAAAGGAAGAAGGGAGAGTGATATAGGGGATGAGATCGACTGGGATACGTTGTAAACATGCGTTGAAATGTCACAATAAAATTTTGTCCCCTGTGTAGCTAATGTATACTAATAAAAAAATATTTTTTTTTGTCGGTCGTGGGGCTTGAACTCTGGGCCTGGGCGCTGTCCCTCAGCTCTTCAGCTCAAGGCGAGCGCTCTACCACTTGAGCCACAGCGCCACTTTGAAACAATAAAAAATGTTAAAAAGGGAAAAAATCCCTTTCTTCAATAATGAGGAGGAAAAATATTCAGGAATTATGCATTTAGGTATTTAATGATCTGAGTGTGTTTTTTCAAAATAGCATTTCACTGTGTTTTCTTTTCTTTTTTTTTGTGGTTTTCATATTTTTATTGAGGCCCCAGGGGAGAGGTTCACCTCCCTGTCAGCTGTCAGCAGAGGTATTCACAGATTCTTCAGCCATTCCAGGTTGGGGCCTCTGGGGTCCTGGGGGTGGCTGGGCACAGCTGGAAGGTTCCCATTGTCTCGGAGGGCCACTGGGTGGTTGTAGGGTGTGGCTGCATTGATCATGCCTGAGTACTTGGTGTAGGGGCTGAGTACAGGCATTAGGATGGCAAGGCCCGCAATGGCAAAGG